GACGTCACACCAAGATAACGGTTCCATCATTATCGCCACAGATTTGTGACTGCAATCTCGACTAGGAGGCAGATGTTCAGTATAGAGTTTCAGCACAGAACATCAGGAATCGCCTGCACACTGGAAAAACGACAGAGAACTTACCGTGATCCAGTTTGATCGTGCTCAACGTTTTCAGACATGCAAGTCTCAACAGATGCTGTGATACAGGACTTTTTTGTCATGAGTCTTTAAATTAGTAACTCAGATTGTTAGTGGCTGTATCCTCAATGGGGGTTAAAGTACTGTAAACATTATTGTCCTCCTGAGAGGGTACGTATGTCCCAAAACATCCAAAGTCAATCTAAAAAACTACCACGGTCTTTAACTGTAGGATATATGTTATTTTAATTTATGGCTAGATTGTCTAAACTTGCTAACGGCTGAAGGGCTGATGATGTAAATACAGCTAGGGTCCATGCAGGAAGCAAATGTACTGTAAGTCCCCATAGTCCCTAGTAAATTTGGTCATTCATGAACACAGAACTGTGCATGAACACAAGCCCGTACTCTGCCATCGGCAAATGCAGTGTGAAGCGTGACTCATCACAGAAGAAATCCTCTTCCTGGTTGAACTTTGTATTAACTGAAAACGTTCAACTAGCTTAAACCTGCTGAGGACCACATACACTCTCTCAAAAAAGAAACGCAACCCCTGTTTTTTTTGGTAATGTTTATATCAATTTTAACTGGTTATTACATTTGTATTTTTAAAGATAATGCCATGAAATTTGACATGGTGAACCTTAGGTCAGCACGGTATAAGGTAACAGTTAATGCAGGTCAGTATCGAACTCTCAATTTACGCTAGGGGGGCGTTGTCTTCAGTATCTCGTTGTAGAGCCACGAGCTCTAATCACAGCAGTGCACCTCCTCGGAACAGAACGAATCAGACGGCGGATGTTTTCCTGGGGGATTGCTCTCCACTCTTCCTGGAGTGCTGCGGCCAGTTCAACCAACGTGTGCGGTTGTGGTGTACGTGCACGAACACGACGATCCAGCTGGTCCCACAGATGTTCGATAGGATTGATGTCTGGCGATCTGGAGGGCCACGGCATCACGTTGACGTTTGAATTCTGTAGGAATGCCACTGTTGCACGAGCTGTATGAGGGCGGGCATTGTCATGTTGAAACAACTCCCTCTGTTGGTCGATTATCGGCAGAAGATGTGGCTGTAAGACGTCATCAATGTACCGTTGTGCCGTCAAATTGCCACGAATGATGACCAAGTCTGACAGTTGGTTGTAAGACATGGCTCCCCATACCATGATGCTTCCTCCTCCAAATCTGTCGACCTGTCGAACGCAGTTCGGTGCAAAACGTTCATTTGCTCGTCTATAGACACGTTGTCTACCGTCACGTCGTTGAAGAAGAAAACGAGACTCGTCACTAAACCAGACTCTTCTCCAGTTTCTTAGGGTCCATCTCCTTACGTTAGTACACCACCTGAGACGTTGGCGTCGATGTTGGCGTTTCAAGACGGGCCCAACAACTGGTCTTCTTGCACGTAAATTTGCCTCATGTAAACGGTTCCTGATGGTTTGGGCCGATACTCTCCTCAAACCTGGCACCTGTGTTGCAGTGATGGTGGGTGTGGCATGCCGATTACGTAGGTGGCTGAGTCGAATAAAGCGATCCTGAGCCGGTGTGGGGATCCTAGGTCTACCGCTCCTGGGACGATCTTCAATTGCATGGAACTGTGTGTAACGATTCCAAAGTCGTGAGATTGTTGTTTTGTGTACGTTTAGATGACGGGCAACTGTTCCAAAGCTTTCCCCGGCCTCAATGCGACCAATGGCAATATTTCGATTTGCTGTACTCAAACGGGGCATTTTCGAACTTGATTTGCAGAGCAAATTATGAGAGAAAAATTACAAACTACGCGTGCTTTTAAAACCCTCTACATGAACTGTGTTTTCAACGATTTGCACGTGCAACAGGCTTTTAGCATTTTGTACATGACAATTTCGCACTTTCTCAAATAACACGGATACAAAGGTCATCATGTGTGACAATGGTTCCGTTTGGGAGCTTATACTGATCAGATGGGAACGTATTAACAGTATTTTGAAGAAAATTCTAATTTACATTCACCATCTTTATTCTAGAAATGATGTCAGATATTTAGATAGGGTTGCGTTTCTTTTGAGAGAGTGTAGATAACGATGAGTGAGTTTACTTTTTACGCCGCGCGCAGCAATATCCAGCTATATGGCAGCGACAACGACAAAATCAAGACTCCGGTAGTTATAAACATTTAATTAATATTTTAGATTTATGACCCAATATTTTAGATTTGTGACTCAATATTATCGTACTAGAAATCTCTATTGTCATTCATTGTTACCTTGTTTTTTTAAATGCCTACAAAGACCAAATGCCTGAAGGAACTTGACTTGTTGAAATTCGTTTCAAATTCAAAATGGGGAGGGGATCAAGCTACCCTCTTACACCTACATCGATCATTGATCCGCTCGAGACTTGATTGCTCCATCGTCTAACACTTTGTCTTGGATCCTTCAGAACGATATATACTTCGCGGCATTAAAAACGCAACACCGATTTTTTAATATAGAAGAGTGTCGTCGACAATAAATTGATACAACCACACAACTTTGTCACGTACCTTGGCAACGTGACGGTCAATGTTTTGGGTTCGAATCCAAACTCTTAAAGATACTGTCCTTGCATAAGCATAAAATCACCATATGAAACAAATCGCCCGAACGCAACAGATTCCTGAAATGCATGGAGTGCACGTGCAATCCCCATACCTGGGCCCTATAAAATCATCCACTCATTGCTCCCCATCACTTGGTCCAATCAGAGGAACCAGGCCTTTGGGATGCTGGGCGCAGGAAGTACAGGAGGAGCAGTTGACAGGCACTTTAATGTCCATCCATCGACCATATCCAGGCTTCGAAACCGATTCAATACAACAGGAAACGTTGCTGACCGTCCACGTCCAGGTGCGCCACGTGTAACGACGTTACGTCAGGATCGAAACATTCGCCTCCAGCACCTCCGGAAACGATTTCAGACGGCTGCACCAACAGCACAAACAGCCATAGGGACAAGACAGAGAAGGATCAGCGCACGTACCGTCCGTAGGCATTTTGCTGGTCACGGTCTACGCGCCCATACATCGGTCAGATCCTGACGCCACGTCACCGCCGCGACAGACTCAACTGGGCCCAGAACAGGGGTACTTGGGCAACACTCCATGGGGAAATGTCATTTTCTCAGACGAATCGAGATTCAACTTAAGCTTCAACGATGGAAGACGATTCAATGTTGGAATACGTGTGAAACAACATACCTTTTTGATAATCAAGGAAGGATACTAGCAAATGGTGTCCGCGTGCGATTAACAATGGCCGTGACCTTTTCATTAACTCAAGAGCAGATAATTTTAGTTTATGGGCAAGATGGGAGTGGTTTCCCCTGGCTTATGCCGTTGCCGTAGAGTCTGTCATGCCCAGTGGCAGAGCTCAAGATATTTTCTTTTCGGTGATGGAGTGATTTTGTCTTAGTTAATCATTAAAGTAATCAAGTTAACGTGCAAAATCAAGATTCAATTTTAATTTCACTTTTAGAAAAATATTTATCAACGCAATAGGGTCATATCATTAATATACTGTGAATGAGTATTTAACAACTGCTCTCTCGATATATTATTTGATATTCGTATTTCCCTGTCATGCATTCTTTACAACACTTCTGTAGCCATATTACATTTTCTGGTTATATTGTGAGAAAACCAATACTTCTAGGGTATATTTTTGATTTTACACACACAAAAAAAACAAAAAGGAAAAAAAACAGCTGTGCATTAAACAATGTCTCATTGACAACCAGTGGCAAATCATGCATTTAGGTGTTATATCATAAGTAAATATTGTCGATATTTGATATATTATTATAATTTTCATAATTATTAAGTCACTAAATCTAGACCCAAATTTATGAATGTATTTTTCGCAGTTCAATATTTTCATAAAACATGGGTAGGTATTTCCGTGGTTGAAATATCACATTCTCAATTCATAAATCAAGACAGTTAAAATGTAGAAAAATATATGCTATCGTCCACGTAATCGTTTCCTTCGAAGATGTCTTGGAATGTTTGTCATGAAAATTCTGCAAAGTGCGATTGAGGGAGGTATGTATTGTGTGCAGGGACCAGGGCCCCTATTCTCGAAAGTGTCCCAGCTAAGACAGATCCTAAGTAGTTAAGACAGAAGTTAGGACATCCTACCGTAAGGATAAGACCCATTCTCGAAATGATCCTATCCCTGTCCTAACTTGTGCTACCTATCCTAGCTAGGATAGCGAGCTCTTCAGTAGGTGAGATAGAAAAACCTTCATTTAGTTGGGGATTCCCCTAAATATTACCCATGATTCGTGGCATAAAAAAACACATAATATAAGGAAATTCAGCTTTTGATGGACTTAGTAGATCTAGAAGAAATTATTCGATATTTTCATCACATTATAGTAATTGGAAAATTCATTTTTTGACAAGGCGATAACAATTTTACTTCAGAATTTGAAAGTCTGCCAAAAAGAAATAAGGATATTAAAGATATGTGTAAAACATGTTTTCATTGTATTTGTTTTTTTTAATGAAAATCATGACTTGAACTCTCATTATGCGTCATCTCACAAACTGAAAAATTCACCGAGGAAATAAACAGGAGTTACTTCCCCTATCAAGTTGGCCTTGACATTGACATTTTACGTGAATGTGACTGAAAAGAGCAATGTTGTGATTAAAAAGGCCGAGAATAGGTAAGAATTGAACAAATCTCTTTTGTAGATCTAAAGAAAGCGTGCATTGCAACAAGTGTGTCTATTCATTACCGATTAATTGATAATATGAACTGAAGAAACTCTCCATGGCCCACTTGCACAGAGCGATCTTAGCGCTACAATTATTGTAAATCCTTAAGATCGCGATCTTAGGCTTCGGCTACAATCGCCATCCACTTGCACAAAGCAATTGTAGGCTAAGATCATTGTAAGTTACAATCGAAACCTACAATTGCCCCGGACCAATTGTAGAGGTCTTACAATCGACCAAGATGGCGAGTACAGTTCTATTTTGTAAAGAATACGACAGATTTTTAAGGAGAGAACGGGTTTTCAGAGACAGAACTAAGCAGCTCGACATTCTGAGTGACGAGGAACTGTATGCTCGATACAGAATGCCTCGTTTGTCGCTGTTCCAGTTACTACACAAAGTACGTCCATTAATCGAGCACCCCACAAAAAGATCACATGCCCTCACCCCAGAGACACAGTTTCTTTTAACAATGCGCTTTTTAAGTAAGGGTGGCTTTTTGCTCGAAATGGGCGATCTCCACGGAGTACACCAGTCCAGTGTATCGAGGTGTTTGCATAGAACAGTGTCTGCAATGAGCAGTATGCTCGACAACATAAACTTTCCTGATCCAGCGTCCTTTCGGCACATTATGTCCGATTTCCACAACATCGCTGAGATGCCCCGAGTGATTGGTGCCATTGATGGCACACTTATACCCATCAAAAGACCAAGCGGTGACGATGAATCTGCATACGTGTGCAGGAAGGGGTTCCACGCCATCAATGTACAAGCCGTTTGTGATTCAAACCTTAGGTAAGAACACATTATTATTGAAACAAAATGACGACAAATACGTCTTTTGCTTGCACTTGTTATCAAATGATACCACTAAAGCGTATGTGCATGAAAATGGGCCGTCATGCTTACTTTATTACGGTGAATTGCACAGCTGATCAGTGTTTACCTTGGGATTGACCAATCACAGGTCAGGGGCCTTCAATGGGTTACAACAAGAGGCACGATTGGGGATGAATAAGGTTTCAGCGTACCAAGATTTTGATGAATAAAGTTACTAAAGTCATTGCTTATGTCTATGACATGACCATAATGATTTCTCTGGAAAATAACAAAACGTCACAACTCGATTGCGCTCATGTATTTCTCAGTTTATGACTCTATTTCACTATATATTATGGGAGACCGAAATATTTTGAAGCGCCTGTAAAATGAACAGTATAATTTTTATGCTGCATTTTGGTAATTAAAAACATCACACCAGGAGCCTGTAATGAATTTCTTTTGTTTATTTTGAGATACAGTAATCTCATTACAATATATTTGAATTGAATATAACAAGATGAATAGGTAAACATATTTGCAATCAATTGTAAAATACTAGTACACACACACACACACACACACACATCCACATCAATGGAAAATAGAGTACAACAGGAGGATATTCTTCATTAAGAATTTGTTGCTGTAAAATCTTAGGATTTAGAGAGATATAATTATGTTAAGCAGTGTATACTTATAGTAATGTTATTAGTGATGTTCATAAAACTAAGTACATCCTCGATTATTTCCTTCAGGTTCAGCAATGTTGTTGCAAGGTGGCCTGGGGCGAGTCATGACTCAATGATCCTTAGCAACAGCCTGTTGGGACAGTCGTTCGAGTCCTCTCCTCCAGATGGATGGCTTTTGGGAGATTCAGGGTTTGTTTAATTTGTATTATTTAAAATTATAAATATGTACGAATGCCACAAACACCAAATACACATGTCACATCAGTGTCAAGCCTATAAGTCACAAGAAGGTTACTTATTTCACTAAGTAACTGCACATATGAAACAGATTTCAAACAGACATTAATACATAAATGAAAAAATTATTGACTGTATCTTATCTTTATGTAGATATGCATGCAGGCCCTGGCTCCTAACACCAATAGGTAATCCTCAGACAAGGCCAGAAGAAAGATATAATGGAGCCCACATGAAGACTAGAAACACCATTGAAAGGGCATTTGGTGTTCTGAAATCAAGGTTCAGGTGAGGAATTTTTGGAAACAAATATAAAAAATTCCTAAGCTTGTCTGAAAAGATCTAGTAAATCTAGATGTTTCGATGTCTTTCAAACAATGAGACTTTGAGACTCATTAAGCTAACTCATAAGAGACAATTAAAATTATATGTTATTACTAAGACAACATAAAAAATTAATGTATGGTTAATATAAATACTAAAAATCCCCTTCTTTGTAATGTCTTTTAATATCTGAATTCAATAGTTAGAAAATAATGCATTAATTACCATACATGAATTATTTTCAGATGCTTACACAAGTCATCAGGGTGCCTTCAATTTACCCCCACAAAATGTGCCCAGATTATTATGTTAGCATTTAAGCTGCATAATTTCTGCATAGATTCAAGGCTGGACAATCCCCCTGCTCTTGAAGAGGAAAGTGCCCCAGAAATTGACTATGTTTATCAGGGACCTCTGAATGATGGCCACAGGATGAGGAAGGAATTAATTCAGAATAAATTTTCCTAAATCCTACATTTAATAATTCATGTTTCTAAATTTTCATTGTATACATGACAGTGAATGTGACTGTGTCCAAATCATCTAAAACCACTTGATTATCATGTTATTTCTTAAAAGATACAGTTAACAATTCCCTATGAATGAAAATGTCATAAATTATATTTAATACAAGTGCAATCTATGCGAATTTTATCATGGGGGACAGGCTGAAAGGGGAACTGATAGATTTATTTCTTAGCAAACTCAAAATTTCCTCATCGAGAGCCAGTCTCTTTTCTTCGACAGCCTGTCTTCTCTCCTCAATGGCCAATCTTTTCCTCTCAATGTCTAGCCTATGACTTCCATCACGTTGGATTTGATGCAGCACCTCCAGCTTCTCCCTCTCCAGATCGACTACTGTTTGTAGCTTTGGAGATTTGGACTTGGTCACTATTAAGTACAGGAAAGTAACAGTCCAGTTAATTACATGTAAGCATAATACATCCAATGCAGCACATTATCCTTTAATATTGTTTACAATGAATACTACAATTAAATCATTCATAAAATAATTAATACAATATTATGAGAAATGTACCATTAACATATTTGACATATGCTTACGTGTAGTACTGGTAGGTTTTTTTATAGCAGACTTCTGCGTGTCTTCTACTTCTAGAAAATGAAGAGACAATCATTATATCATTAAGTATTCTGTAAGGTAGACTTTATATACAAATTGTTTTGAAATGTGTATGAACTGAATTTCTTTTCTTTGAAACTTTGCAAGTTTGTTTAGACAGACGTAACTTTGATCAGCAGTAATTGACTACTTTTTGTACATTAATATGAATGAATAACTGATATTTGATTAATTTAACTATCACTTACATGTTATTATTGAACAATGTCAATGTATACCACTGAACATATTCACCTGTGGGCAAAGCTGTAATTGATCTTGAACTTTCAAGCTCGCTTGCCATGCTTACATCAAGATCTTGCGTGTCGAAGCACATCTCATCTGAATAAAAGTTGAACATGTTCTTCACAAAGAGTACATGGTAAAACTTCACAACTTTCATTATATGTATCTTATTTGATTCTGATATTGCCAGTACCCATTTTATGTAAAGATCAATTTGTACTTTCCAATGAGAATAACATGTTTTGCACTTACTGGCACACAAACCACTTTCAACTCCCCCAGGAATGCCATCTATTTGGCAGGCAGGTATCAAGCAGATAACCTAAAATAAGATTTAAAGGTAATGTCACATACAAATGTATCTGAAAATATATCAGGATTCATGACCCAAGGTTATTTTTTTAATTTGTAATTGAGATATGAAGCTTAAAACACATGATATTATTATCACCAGCAGCAATTTTCTTGCTTTGAAATATTTGCACTGTTGTGATTATATTAATACTGGAAAATGCTTCAATTCTAAAACACTCTGCTTGTATCATACACATGTATACACAGTTGTGCATGTACCTTAGACTCCAAATCTGAGAGAGGAGTTGGAGCAGGGCCTCCTCCTGTTTTCATCATGTCCCTCTTTGTTGTTTGTGCCTTTTTTCTTATTTGGCATCTGCATATAAAATGAACTTGTCACTATCATGTAAAGTACAAATACACATGTATTTATATCAACATAAAACTCAAACCTATGTATTTTGAAGGAAGCATGGATTAAACAACATTTTATGACATCATGTTTCTCAGACAAAAAAATACAATATTAATGACTCGATCTTGGAGCACCCACTTAGTGGCTGGATTTAGTGCTCCATAAATTGTCAATTTTATTATTATTTATCCCACATACATGTATTATCTCATGCAGGGACCAACAAAAGTACGCTCCTGTATAAATCTTACATTATACAGATCTCATTCTAACTTACTTCAGTTCGTTCCACTTCTTCCTAACATCTGCGCCACTCCGCCTTGTCGAGCTGACAGCAGTGACCCTTTAAAAACGTAAACATAGCTGTGGAGACGCGGCAATGTGGTGAGAACGAATACTGTGTTAGGCTCTTCAATTAAAGATGAATGCCTGCTTTCAGGAAAAACATATCCTACTATACAAAAGAAATACGATCAATCTACTAAATGGTATACAGAAATGTTCTAGTTCCTATTTGTATATATAATCGATGCATTTAGTAGTTGATTTACAAATGTAGATTGTTCTTACTATTGGACTTACTTGTCGGCTATGTTTTCCCACATGTCCGCCTTTCGCTTACTCGTCACTATTGGGGAGAATGGGGCGAACAAAACATCATTACTGCGTGTAACTTCATCCGTCAACACGGATAGCTCTTGTTCAGTAAAATTACTGCGGCGCACCCTCTTCTCTGTTGACATTTCGACAAGTTGCAACAATGTGTCGTCTGCCGATACGACAAGGGAGGTAATTCTACATCGTAGCCAATGACGCATGACTCATGTGTTTTCTTACCTCCACCGCTGAAGAGTTCAGTCTTAGCTAAGATCGCGATCTTAAATCCATGCGGTCTTACAATCGCGCTAAGATCGGCTTTGTGCAATTGTATGGCGATTGTGGATTAGGGGCCTAAATTGTATGGCGATTGTAAAGTTGATTGTGGGTGCTGGGCCTAAGATTGATTGTAACTAAGATACCACTCTGTGCACTAAGATAGACTTAGCCCACGTCCACTTGCAGACAACTGTAGACAGGAGTCGAGTTTAAGAAATTCGCACCTCCACCGTTGATGAGTGCGATCTTAAATCCATGCGGTCTTACAATCGCGCTAAGATCGGCTTTGTGCAAGTGGATTAGGGCAATTGTATGGTGATTGTAAAGTTGATTGTAAGGACCTAAGATTGATTGTAACTAAGATTGCTCTGTGCAAGTGGGCCCTGGCCATCTCGATCTCCGAACATGAACCCCATCGAGCATTTGTGTAGTGAGCTCAGTCGCAGAGTTCGAGCCCTTCCAAACCCACCCATGATCATTGCAGAACTGACAGCAGAGGTTCCATGGTCGTCTGTGCACGGCTATGCGCATCAGAGTGCGGGCTCTCATCAGGGACCAATTGCACAAAAGTGAAATTAAAATTGAATCTTGATTTTGCACGTTAACTTGATTACTTTAATGATTAACTAAGACAAAATCACTCCATCACCGAAAAGAAAATATCTTGAGCTCTGCCATTTTAACCCCTGGATGCCACAGGGACATATATGTCCTTCCCCTTCAACCCTCAATTTCAAGTCCAATAAAAATCAAAATATCCCACGCACACAAATACACTTCACAGTTTCGAATTCTTCGGGAAATTTCCTGTTTCTTGATACCATCCACTATTATTTTAGACAAAGTTCAAGTGCTGAAAATGACCTTTCAAAATAGGCTTCATCGAAAATGTCGCCATTTTGACACAGTACGAAATCGCGATTCACAGCGTTATTTGCTGTATGTTTTGAAATGTGAAAACCGGATAATTACTGGGAGTATTGAATTTCAAAAATAACATATTCATGATCACTCATATCAGTTTTACATGAAATCGCTAAGTAAAATTCTGAAACGTTGCCGATGAATCTAGAATCGGTTGGGATGTTTTCGAAAATGCACTTACACGAACGCCGTAGAGCGCTTTCCGCCATATTGATAGTGTTTACAAAATCACGTTTCGCGAAGGCCGGTATTGAGACGCATATTACATCACGTATATTTCATATTCAGCTTCGAAAAATGCATCAATAAACTCCCCATACATTTTAGACTCAAACTGCAAGTGGTCTTTGTCACCAATGCCAACTGTCTAGATAAAATGAGACGAAACATATTTGGTGTGAAAACGAACGCTGTGCTCGAAAGACTGCGCTGGTTCGAAATGTAAACAAAGACAAAAACCTATTTTACACTGTGTAGCATTTTCTGAAATTTTCCAACATTCATCCGTCTATTCATTGCTTGCAATGGCTCAATACCTTTGGAATATGCATGGAAAGAGTATCGTAGCAAGAAATAGGAAATTATAAATAGATACAATGCAATGATTTGATAATTCATAAGAAATTGTCAAAGTTTCCGTGCAGCGTGACGCCATGACTGACGGAAAATCACGCAGAACGACAACGGTAATTATCTGGATTTCTGTCTTTTCTCTTACTTTTAGTGAAAACGATAAAACATATAACAATACACAGATAGTCAGAATCATTCTGATTACTTACATCTCATATTTATGGACAAACGATCCCTGAATCAATGGAAGGGTCCTCGCAAAATCCTGTGTACCCTTGTCAGCAAAGCCGCCATTTTGTAAGAAATCGGTCAGCGGTAGTGATGTCATACGTCAACATTGTTGTACATATTAGGCAATTTCTTTGAGGTGAAGGTCGGTTGAACAAGAGTAAACACAATCGCCCAATCCTTCCGATTACACTGTCAGTATTATGGTGTATATTTTGCGTATAGTTCAGATACTTTTTCATGAAACTGACTTCAGTATCCACATTTAGCCTTGTTCAATATCATATCATACGTGCGTATAGGGTTTACGGTGTTTTATTCTTTGAAAGTTTTTGATTGTTTGAATCATATTTACATAGGAAATTGACATATTTAGTGCAATACACCATATTCTAAACCTTTACACAAGTGTTAGAAGATCAAACGTAGCCATAACTGCAATTGCGTTAGTTCCGATGATGTACAATATTCAATGCATTTGGACTAATATTGCAGTTTCACATGAACAGGTTAATGAACGTCGATTTAATTCAACCTTATAAGTAAAACTGATAATATTAATGAAAATGATTTATATATGGTATGAAATGTATATGCACACATATTTAAAGGAATTGTCTTGTTTTTTTGCACATTTGTGTGTCGGTTTATAGAGAAAACAATGATGTAAATTGATTGGCCAGGTGCGCGTTTGTCGGAAACGTTTTATGATTCACTATCATTGTTTTCGATAATATAATCAATTCATATTCGATTTAAAAAATATTGTGATGACAGGATATCAAACTCTAACTATATTTATACGAAAATTGTTTAAAAATATATAAACCATGTCATGTCTTAATTTGGACAAATCTTACATCCATATTCTAATATATAGTACGTACTAGTCCCATATATAAAAAGCTATCTTTTTGCATCTTCCAATGCATACTTATGAAGAGAAATAGCTACATAATCAGAAAATTCTTATCCTAAACAAAATATTCGGGTGTTGTGAAATGTTATTTTCATTTACGTTAAATTGATGCCAAACAGGTGCGCGTGTTTCTCACAAAAGATACACAGTCAAACTGTCTAATTGTTGATATATTCAGGACACTATTTAAATGGAAAAATCAGTCATTTTATGTTTTGTCTAAAGAGTCTTAAATTCTGACATAGAAGCCGAGACCTTTCACACAATTAAAGGAAATTAGGTGAGATATGTACTAAACAGCATACCAGTGTCGTCTTTTTTCCGACGTCGCAAAATGCATAAAACAAGCAATGACGTCAACTAAAATGGTGTATTATTTTCAGCAATTTCATTACATTTGAAGATATGGCTAGTACTCTGGTAATAACGATGCAAAATTAGTCAAAATACATCTACACAAACAGGACAATATGGGAATCTAAGAACTAACTTATATATCGGATAGGGCCATCCAAATCGCTATTACGTGCTTTCACATGTAATACGTTGTCATTTTTCTTGTAAATTGTGAAACTACCAAACTGCATCCGCTCACATTGGGGAACTTTGAATTGGGATAGTTTGGTTCACCATGAACATAAAATAACGAAAATATAGCGTCCGTATCCACAACAAATTCCCTCCAAGTGATCTGAGTTACATGGACCTAGTGTTACGCATAACGGAGTTATGCCCCCCTTATCATTATATGTGTATGACCTCTCTGTCGTCGTTTGACGTCATAGAAGAAAATCCATTTTTGACATTTATTGCGAGTCATTTTTAATGTTGAGCGTATAACGTTATGCACAAGCACATAAACCCAATTCATATAAACTTATGTCGTTCAGATATCAAGCTGTATTTTCTTCGCTAACACTTTCCGTAAAGATGCGACATAAAAAAAATTCGTAGCACAGTGCTTTTAGTGACATGCTGTAAACATAATTTCAACGCCGTGTGAAATTATGTTTACAGCATGTCACTAAAGTAGAATCATTCCAACCCGGCATATAACTGTGAGGGGTGGTGGGGTAGCATCCGTCACACCAAAGACTCTTGTTCGATTCCCCACATGGGTGCAATGTGTAAAGCCCATTTCTGGTGTCCCCCGCCGTCATATTGCAGGAATAATGCTAATATATGGCGGCGTAAAACCATACTCACTCGCATATAACTGTGTTTTGATCCCCTCTATGAGGATCTGTACAAGAAGTCTTCTCTTATTCAACCTTTAGGAATAAGAATCAAACCTTTCCTTTCTGCTGGTGGCATTGAGCTACAAATATATCTTCTTCACGCCTGCTTTCTTCTCCTCCTTGGCAGTTAGTGAGGCCATAAGCTGACCTTACATCGACCACATTAGAGAAATCCGAGGCTTATGAATTATTCTTGCTTGACTGTATTGATTTTCTAACACGAGGGATAAATATTTCAGTGTAAAAGCAGTGAAGGATGCTTTTAGTAATGTTAATTATCGTTTAATAATTGATTTTTAAAAACATTAGAATCATTTCAAATTGTTTGATTGATATGTTTTGTAAATAGATCAGTGTTTGTTTTCAAACTGGCAGATTAAAGTCAGTAACTGAGGTTGTTAGTGACTCTATCCTCAAAGAGGGTTAAAATACTGTAAAATCATTGTCTTCATAGTATACGTGAGTCCCAAAACATTCAAAGTAAATTTAATCTTACCAATTTTTTCATAGATTATGTGTCCTTTAATCCAGCTAGGGTCCATGCAATAAGCGTCCGAATAGAGTTCTTGAGGATGGCATTCCACTTCTGCAGTAGTTCAGCCTCAAGTTCCCGGATGTTTCGCATCTGTTGTCGCCGCGAAAGACTTTGACCAATTTCGTCCCACAAGTGCTCCATGGGGGATAAATCTGGCGACTGTGCTGGCCAATGAATAACCTGGATGTGTTGCTGGGCCAGATACTGCATGGAAAGTCTTGTTTTGTGTGTGCCCGTGCGGTGTCTTGTTGAAAAGTATGGACATCTTGGTGGTGATTGAAGACAGATACGATGTGATTCTGAAGAATCTGCTCACGGTAATAAAGGGCATTAACTCTCCCTTGACAGACATGAAGGCAGTCCTGTGATTGTAATTTATTCCACCCCAGACCATGACACTCCCACCACCCAAAGGTCTGTCTGAACCACACACTCATCAGCATAACGTTCACCACGTCTACGCCAAACACGTAATCGGCCGGTCCAACGTAAGAACGTCGAGCATGGAGCCCTGTAGCGTGTAGACGGCGTCGCATGGAGTCAGCGCTGATGACCCCCACGTCAACCTTGAACTAGTGCAGCAGTCCTGTCAGTCCGCCTCCGTGGTGTAGTGGTT